TGTCAGAATGATAAGGGGAAGTAGCCATTAAATTCTATTTATATGAATTCCATAAGAAGGCTATTCCATCAAAATCAGTCATTGATATGGCTTTGTTGGGATCAAGTAAAGAGCCAATATCATGGTCAAATCTTGATTTTCCTGATGGAATTGTTCAAGATTTATTATGAACTTGAGATATAAGTTAATATTCCTCATATCGACCATATACGTTTTGTTGGTGTGATATATCCACATTGAACTTCTCAAATATGTTTTGGATATATGTAGACTGATATGTATTCTTGAGAGAATGCTCAAGTTGTAAACTTAAGCTAAATTTGGTTTAATCCAAATTTTCCGCCTTGAGATGATTTTGTATATGTTTAGGTCTTGTATAGACATTGATGATGAAGTCATCGATATACACTAAGTGATATAAGGAAAACAAATTTTGGATTTCCTTATTAACACAGAAGCAATCATCATTCTTTGAGTAATCCCTTTGAAGAAGGAACTCATTTCGTCGGTAGTACCATATGATTTCCGACTATTTCAAGTCATAGAGTGACTTTGAAGTTTTACACAAAACATGCTACGATTTATCTTTGGATTCGGAATTTTAAGCCCTTCAGGAACTTTAAAATAGATATCTGAAATGAGTGATCCATATGAGTATGTAGTCACTGCATCCATTAACTGCATGGTATTATTCGTACTGCCTATGATATTTAGTATCGAAACATAATTCCACTAATACCAGAAGGGTATGTCACATCGTGATTGATGTCGGATCTCTGCGTGAACCCTTTTGCTACAAGCCTCGCTTTCTCACCACCTCATTGACTTTGTCTATGAATGAGAAGTTTTTAGTATTCCATATGGAAGATACTTATGAGGAGTAGGTATTACTGCAGTAAATACCACTCATTTGTTGAGCGAGTGCTATCCTTCATTACTTGCTTCCTTTTTATGTGAACCAATATGAGTGCAAGAGGAACTCTACCATGGATTTTGGTTCTGGGCCCAAAAGGTTTTAGCAATTTGAGAAGAAATATATGTCGACAAATGTAGTCTTTAGTTTATATGATCCTGATGGAATCATTGAAGTTTGTGGATAAAATATGTACTCCTTTTTAACTCCTTGTGATTTCCTACAACAAATGGAGTCAAGGTGTTTCGATGTCCCGGCACCAAAACATTTGTGCACCTTTATGCCGGGCATTGGATGATGAGCGTCCAGTGAGGTGTCTTTCAACTTGATGTTGAATTACATTTACTAGTTGAGGATGTGATTTCCTCTGTTTCCGCGGAAACATATGAGAAGTTATATCTCGTATTGTCAGATTTTCTCCCCCTCTTGCTCTCATTTGGGGAGAAGAGTGGTTTATCAGGTACCTCCACTCTTTCTGACACTTTACTGCAGGAATATAGAATTTAGTGACACCTTGTCATTAGTAAATGTATGTGGCAAATTTGCAATGTGTTGCATATATATGATTCTCTGAACTTATAGTTCAGATTCTTTGAGTACGTGGATATAATGATTGAATTTCAATAACATTTATAATTTATTTCTTGGCATTCTTTGTGGTACTTATCTCCCCCTAATGCCGGAAAATATCCTTATTGCTGATGCAATCAACATACGGGCTATGAATAATTTTGATTGACAGATAAATTGTTATTCCTCACATAGATCCCTGATTTTCTGTGAGTGCCCATTGATGTATGCTGGAGTGGTGATATCGGTATGTAACCGAATTATCGCAGATGGGAAATACTTTGTTGATTTCCACGTAGTTACTACAAGGGGAAAGTAGTATGAAATGCAGTTGGTATGATTTAGATCATACTTACGGTGTGTAAGGCCGTATGTGTCCAGCAAGAGGCTGGTAAATTTACAATTCTTTAAGATTGGTCATGTAATTTATTTCACTATCTTTGATAAGAAATTTAGTTAAACCATTCTGGGTATGTACATAGAGTACAAAAATATAATCGGACATTGCTTGTGAAATGATTTCAATGACATTGTCCATTCGAATGGGTTTTTCAATCCTGTTTTCAGGAGAATTTGCTCCTACTTTGATAAGTTGAGCAATTTATTTAGTAAGATCATGCATGTTTGTGTGTGATAAGAGACACACTTGAAATCATTTTATAAATGTTCCTATGAGTACCATGAAGTATCTAAATAATTCCACATAATGGTTAACTAATCCACATATGTCTTCTTAATGTATTCAAGGAAGATTGAGTGGCTCATTTAGAATTTTAAGGTGAGAGTGCCTTAAAACTGATATCCCCTATGGCACATGTAGTGCGCGTAAAATCTGATGATTTGGGATATTTTGCAACTTGTTAAGTTGTGATCAAATAGAATTGTCAATAATTTTCTAATCATCTCCAAGCCAGGATGGACAAGGCTATCAAGCCTAATATTTAATTTATTAATACTTAGAAAATCATTGTGTACGCAACAATAATGAGTATGAATTGAAACATACATTCAAATTTATTGAATAATGTATCCAAGGGATATGATATTGGACATTTTACTACATGTAGTAGTAGAAGTATAGGTTAATGCTATTTTTGGGAATAATTAGGAGATTACCTAAGGTCTCCGATATTATTGAGTGCAAATGAGTTCATCCTCCATTTTCTGGACTAGATTTTGGTCCTCCTTCTGATGAAGATTCTGAGAACAATTCTTTACCAGAATCTGGTTGTTATTTGCAATTTTTCAAATTTATCCCATTGAACTTATTGGCCTTTTAATAAATTTGTGGTGTGGTTCGACCATATGTTTGAGGGTTTGGTAATGATAGATACAATATTTATATAACCACGCATCTGCTAAACTTGAGAGTTGTCTTTTGATCACTTGAAAATGACCGATTCTTATTAAGAGATAATTCCGTCTTTGGTTGTCTATTAGCCTCCACTTTACTTCGAATTCCTCATAGTTCTATTTTGTGACAACTAACTTGCATACTATTCTCGATACTAGCATGAATTTTAAATTATGGTATAACACCCATTGGGTGAATCTGATGATTTTAAGAAATTCCATGTTTCTTCATCGTAAAAATGGTAGTACCATCTTAAGAGGAGGTAAATTGTATAAGGAATTTTCAACCGGATCTGCATATGAAAATATTTGATCACGGGATCTCAACTTGAAAGTTGATTAAGTGACAGAATTGTGAGTTGCGGTAGACTTGAGGTCTTGAAAACGAATGGGTGATCATTCGTGATGTGCTCATGGCATCATGTTTATCTTAAGGGGAATATCCAGGGTGAATAAAAATTCATCCATTATGTACTTAGTTTGAGAACTAAGTGAAGTTGGTGACACATAAAATGCATATGAACGTTGCAACTTTAGAGTCACCGCCAAAAATATAGACGTTGCATGTTTAACATTGATTAGTCACTATGAATACATTACCACAATGTGATGTGGACATTGCAAAAGTGTTGAGACACTCAATCGTTGCTATAAATTATGGGATCCATCTTGATGGATGAACGACACTATAATTATAAATAGTGACACAGGCTCCATTGCCATGTATTTTACCAATGTAATAGAAAATAATCACCATGGTATGCAAATATTTGCGTAATTTTCTATGACATATTCAAGCAAAATGGGGCTTAAATTGTTGATAGCACCCCCAAAAATACCATTTCGGCATACATCAAGTGTGCAAGAACAATATTTACTATGAGAGTAAATCACTCTAGTGAACAACAACAAATGCTTCAGAGGAGCCAATTTTAGAACAACTGATGCTTTATAACCATATGTGTAGACCTCAATTTATATAGAATAACACTTTGAAGATAATCACCAATTTGGTATAGATCTCGCAGTAATAGAAAACATAGTCTGACTTTTGTCAATAGATGTTCATAATTCTATTACCTTATGTTATGTAAAATGTATGAAATCACTTTGAAGGTAATCATCTGTCAGAGTGACATAATGTAGACCTTACAGTAATAGTGGATAATCTGCAAATTTCGCAGTAGATGTCAGTATTACCTTATGATATCTTGAGATAGTCACATCTAATATTAATTTGGAAGAGCACGTTGAAGGTAGTCATCTTATCAAAATGATAAGACGTAGACCTCACAATAGTGATGGATAATCTGCAAATTGTGCAGTAGATGCCACCAATACCTTGTGATTCACAAATAATATTTGAGTCGGTCATATTAAGCATGACACTTCATAATTCTTATTTGAATTTATGTCTGCGTTTGCAAGAAAAATATGTTTCTGTTGCAAACTTATAGTTGTTGTCCCAAAACGCATGTCATAGGGAATATTTGTGGTAAGACATCGATGATATCTTAAATTCAAAGGAATATAGTCTGGAATTTAAGCAAACCATTATTTTGCAATAGTATTACAGAGGTAATACATATGGACCAAAAAAAATTATATACATACAAATATATGAAGACATGAGGGCTTCACAAGACAATTTTACACATTGTAAAATGGTGTATAATTAAGTTGTATGAAATTTAGGATGAACTGAGGTCAACCACATACATTTTTCTATAGCCGAGGGCTTAGATTGTAAACTACGATAACCATAGGGTTAAATTGTTGAAAAGAGTAAGTTCGAGTACTAAACAGCAAAGTCCATTGGCCTAATGGCCCGGTTCTAAAATGCAGCAAGCCAGAGGGCTAAACGGCAGAGACCTGTTAAACTGTGGTTTACACAGATATTTTAAGGGACTTATACTAGATTAGGCTCGAATCTAAGGGCTGAATTGAAAATCCACCAAAGAGATAAGAAATCCCCAATTTCTTCTCCCGTGTGTGCTTCCTGGCCACTGGTAACTGCCGCCGCTCAGTGCGAACCGGCCGGTAGTTGCGCCACCGCCGCTGCTTGGGAAGCGAGGCCGTGTCGCACAGCGCCTGAGGGCACCGCCATGCGCAGGAAACTGTGTCGCACCGGAGTACGTTGGCCGCCCACTCGCGTCGAGCGCCGATGATCTTCGGGTGCGGTTGCAGCGCCTTAGGTGGTCGCTCGGACGAGCGCTGGAGGATGCCGCTGGGAAGGCCGGGGGCCTCTAGCCCCAGGTGCCCTCGTGCCAGGGGAAGCAGCGTCGGGCCGGCGTTGAGAACTTCGGCGTGGAGGTTAGTGCGTCTTGTGTGCAAGAGCAAAAAGAATGGAATATGGTCACCTGATGATGTAGCAATTAAGATCGAGAGTTTGGTGTTTGTATAAATTAATGCTTCATCGTCTTGGAGAAGGGGCGGCCCAGATCCTCGTTATTTTTCATGTGATCCCCTTTTCTCTTCTTCTGTTCTTGGCCGAACTTGGTGTTTCGTCTGTGAGGACGATTTTTCTCCTCAATCCTCTGTCTTCTTTTTGGCAGTTATTGGTATGGATTTTCGATCGAGTGATCCTGGATGCCAACGCCCATATCCTTTTCTGTGCGTCTTCCTTGTGTAATTGAAAATTGTGCCCAATTTCAAGTTCTGATATTCCTGCTTGGAGTATGATAAATCCGCTCAATTGATTGATTTTCTGTCCTTTGGCAGAGTGTGTTCGAGGCTTCCAATTCTTGAATCGATGGAGGCTGGCGCTGCGTTCTTCCATCGGTTCTTCTTTCTTTGTAGTTCACGATTGATCAATTCTTCGTGAGATTCGTGTGAGCGCATATACATACAGGAGAAAAACAATTCATTGTTAGATTATTAATTGATGATTGCAAGAAGACAAGATCAATCAATCAATCTCCCTGATTAGTTTCTTTCCTTTTTGTACGAGGAACATCTCGTCTTCGACGTGAATCGCGTGGTGGCCGAAACTCTAGTAGCCAACTTCTCCAGACTTCTCCAGTCATCGTCTGCGGCAATTGCAGATCGCCGGAGTGGCCTCCTCTGGCCATAGAGAGGCCTTGCCGTTTGCCGCCGCTGTCGTCGGCAGTCATGTGGCGGATTGAAGCGCCGGAGGGCGCCGCTTCGACGCGCATACAGAGGAGGGCGTCGTCAACCATGGGGTGCCTCAGCCGCCTGCATCGCGCGCTGGTGCTGCGCCGCTGGAGCGCTGTCGAGGCCGAGGGTCCTCGTGTCCTTGGGGCCGGAGGGAGGGTCAGGGACGGTGGAGCCGTCGAGTTCTTGGCCTAATTGATCTCTGGAAGAGGCGTGCGTGATAACGTGTTAGAGAGAATCGAGAGAGAGGAGCGAATGGAAAACAGATATATGAATGAACAGTTATTCTATTGATTGAAGATTGGGGTATTTATACCCAGTTTACAAGGCGGTTACAAAAGGAGGCAGTTGCCAAAAATGGCACCGACATAGCAGTGATTAATAGTTAATTAACCTAATTAATTAATTCCTAACAGAACGGAATGAAAAGGCAGAACAGTGCCACCGTCATCCGTTTATGTCCAGGTGGCATAGCCCTTCGTGCGCCTTTATAGCGACTGTTAACGGGTTGAGTTAATTACACCTGCAATACAAAAACTTGCAGCAAAATAACAGAATCATACACAAACTAAAAAACCTCAGAAAAATGGTACATTAACTTTTCTAACAGCACGCATTCGTACAATTTCCGTTAATCCTAACGGTGCACCCTCTGTCGCTGCTAACTTCGTGTAGGTGGCTTGACAGCTGACCTGACACTCTCGGTCTTTCCTGTATGGGTCCCACTTGTCACTGAGCCAGAGAAGTGATTCGAACCTGAAACTAACTGTATGAAACACGCACATGCCGACCACTCCACCACTTCTATCACTAGGTCAGAAAAGAGGCAGTTTTCTTTGTAAACTCGTCGTCTTAGATATCTCCTGCTTTTTTTTTTCTGAGGAACATGCCTCCTTTTTTGCGTGTGGCAAAGATACCTCCTTTTTTTTGAGACAAGGCAAAGATACCTCCTGGCCGGTCGACGATCAGCTTTGCTGAAGTTGCCTTCCATCCGGGCCGGACTTTTTCAGCTGTTTCGTTTATTTTATTTTTTCTTTATCTTTTTTCATATATTGGGGTTTCGTCTGTTTTAATTATTTTGCATATTTCTATTTTTACATAGTTTTTTTTGCGAGATTTCTTTACATAGGTTTTACGATATACGGTAATTTTTTTTACATTAAATGCTGTACATTTTTTTTAAATAGACACTGAACTTTTTAGTATGGAAAACGTTTTACGACAACGCGCCGACCGAAACTTCGGCCGGTCGCATCCACGCACACAGCACCCCTGCCATTCAGATCGAGACAATGGACCCACGCGCCCCAGTGGCGAGGACGGGGGACGCTGCTCCAAGAAACAATCGGCGTCATCGGGGGGATTTGCTACTACTGCGTCCTATTCGGCTACAACCGCTATCTTGTTTTGCTGCTGCGGTGGCGAGCGCACCGGTGAGCTGCTACCGTCGCCACCGAAACTACAACCATCGCCGTGCGGAGCTGCAACCGGGGGGTGCAGCTATGGTATGGGTGGAGCCGGCGGCAAGGACGGCCGGCGAGGGCCTTGACTGGTGACGAGGACGACCGACAAGGGTGGCGACTGGCGACTTCCATAGAGCGTGTGCCCCGGCGAGATCCAGGGGAATCCTTCGTACGGACGGGCGAAGAAGACGCAGTACACGTTTAAGATTTCGAAAATATACTGAAAATTAGTACATACATACACATTGAACATTATTGGATAATATAGAATGAACACTTTTGTTATATACACTTCTAATATGCAATGAACTTTTTTAAGGGAAAATCTATCAAGTTAACCAATCAAACTGCATTGCAGACAGTTTTTGGATGAAAATGGACAATCTATCACATTCAAGTTTCAACCAGAGAATGACAGAAAACTGAATTCAAGGCTAAAGCTTACGCTCTAGAATTAATCTTTTTTTTTGCGATGGTCCAGAATTAATCCTGTATCATCCTTCCTTTTTTCAAACATAGCCACAAGCCACCACACACAAAAAAAGGGTCAAATATATGCAGCACGATTTCAAAATGTAAATTAAACCAATAGGCAATAGTCTATTATATACTGGCCGAGCATTAATGTTGTTGCTTCTGTGCTCCAACAGTGCTTAGGCTAGTCATAATGGGAGTAACTTAGTAACATAGCGCACTTTGAGAAAATTCTGCTTATATGGCAAGTAATTAATGAGAGGTGGTAACATAATATGTTACTGTAACATAGCGCTTTTCAAGACAAGATGACTCTACGAGCTAATAAATGAAGCCATCTATGATAGTACTACTATCATGTTAGTTTACATTATGAAGGTAGTAACTTAGACTAGTGTCATATGCATGACACTAGTCTAAGTTACTCCCCACTATGACCAGCCTTAGCCCAAGGAAAACCTTTCTACATTGCTTATAGCACGTGTCTGAAAAAAATTAGTACGTATAGAAACATGTCCACCTCAATTTTGACAGAAATACTGGAGTTGGCTAGTGATTAGCGCACCAGCAAATGCTTTGTCTCCTTCAATCAGGAGGGGCGGAGGTGAGGATTTCTATGCTTGGGCCTTTGAAAGATCAGGCAACTACACTGTTAAGTCGGCGTACCGTGCTCTAGTGACTCAGAACGAGCGCAATGCTCTAAAGGAAGGGGCGGCTACCGGTGCTTCAAGAGATGACAAACAGATGTGGTCTGCTTTGTGGAAACTCAAAGTGATCCCAAAGGTACGAGTGTTCTGGTGGAGGGTTCTACGAGGGATTCTACCGTCTAAAGGAAGAAGCAAACATGCGCAAGATTCTTGAATTGCTGCAGATGTTCTCGCTAGTTGGAGTATGGCGCAAGAATTTTTTATGAACTTGCTATAGTACAGAGCAAGAATTCCTGATGCTGCTGCGAAAAATATATATTATGGATGACCATGTTCTCACTTACCTAGAAAATTTTATATGATGATACTAAAGTACAGAGTAACAAAACACAGATGAAAAGATTGAATGAGCACGACATATAGCACGTTGGCTACAAACGACAGTAACACATAAGAGAAACGAAATCCTATCTGAACTTAGGCTTAGCAATTCCCCTTCCAGGCATTTGTAAATGTGCCAGCAGGCTTCCAGAAATGATTTGCTAGATTTAGCTGCACCTCAGGGTCCGTTTTGTAAATGTGCAATAGGCTCCCTCGTAGATGGATCAGGCCCCTTCCTTCCACATCTAATGGCCCACGAGCTACGCACCGGATTGCTCTAATCACGCTCTCAGTACATGATGCAAACATGCAATGCAATAGTGCTTACATTGGATGTCGGCTTCGTCCTTGACGTCGCGGGTCGCTCACCTGCAGAGACGAAGCGGAGGTCAGAAAGGGGGGTGGGGGTGGCCGGGTGGGGGGGGGAGCGAGAGGAAGAGAGAGGACACACAGACCCGCCGCCCAATGCCCCTCCTCTGCCGCGCGCCGCCGCCTGGACGAAAAGGGGGAGTGAGGAGGAGCCGCCGCCGCCGCCTGGGGGTGAGAGGTGGCAGACGGGACCTCCGGAGAGAGGCGGAGGGGAGGGTAGGAAGCGACCGGAGCACCAGCCGGCGGCAGCGGCCGGCGACCGGAGCACCAGCCGGCGGCAGAGGCCGACGACCTCTAACCCTAGGCCGACGGCGCCCGTCGCGCCGCTCGTGCTCGTACGCACACCAAACCAAATGCGTCTGGGTTTTGGGGGTTGATGAAAAGAGAGGCGCCGTATGTGGGAAGGGATGTGGTCTTATGGGTTTGGGAGTCGGATCCGAGGCAAATGCGGTCCGGGGCAGGTCGTCCCACCCAGCCGGCGGCTCAAGTCGGCGCCGTCTGTTGATCTGGGCCGGGCCCGTGCATCATTGTCGCCTCAAAAAGGGCGCAGCCGCCGGCTATCACTCAAAAAAAAGACAGAGTAATCATGTTACTAGTCATGAACTAGCTCAAATTGGGAAAGTGAGGGTCTTTTTTTTTAAAGATCCAGCATTGCTGGCGTTCAATTGATTTAGCAAAAAGAGAATACAAAAGTCTCTCAGACCAAGTGGCCGGAGAGGTACAGAGTGAATGAGGAAGGGCTAACTCCCCTCCCGCCCAATGTCGTCCCTCATGACTATCTCTCACGTTTGATCCCCAAAAGGGGGCACTAAGCATTTTGCTCCGGGGAGTCGCCATTGCTCCATGTCACTTCTGATGTCATTGACCACCTCATTTGTATTTGGGTCCCTCCCTCTGAATGTGCATCCGTTTCTGTGTAGCCAGACTCGCTAGAGGATCATGGCCAGCATCGATCG